GAGGTCAGTGACCACCCCATCGTGGTTATCAGGGACGTTAAGCTCTTTCTTGTATAGTTCCTCTGTGTAATCTTGCCACCTCTTCTTAATCTCTTCTGCCTCTGTTAGCTCCCTGCCATTTTGGTCCTTTAACATGCCCATCTTTGCATGAAGCATCCCCTTCATATCTCCAATTTTCTTGAAGAGATCTCTGGTCTTCCCTATTCTATTGTTTTTTTCTATTTCTTTGCACTGTTCATTTAAGAAGGCATTCTTATCTCTTCCAGCTATTCTCTGGAATTCTGCATTCAGTTGGGTGTATCTTTCTCTTTCTCACTTGCCTTTTGCTTCTCTTCTTTCCTCAGCTATTTGTAAAGCCTCCTCAGACAACCATTTTGCTTTCTTGCATTTCTTTTTCTTTGGAATGGTTTTAGTTGCTACCTCATGTACAATGTTGCGAACCTCCGCCCATAGTTCTTCAGGCACTCTGTCTATCAGATCTAATTCCTTAAATCTAGTTGTCACCTCTACTGTATATTCATCAGGGATATGATTTAGGTCATACCTGAGTGGCCTGGTGCTTTTCCCTACTTTCTTCAATTTAATCTTTAATTCTGCAACGAGAAGCTCATGATCTGAGCCACAGTCAGCTCCTGGTCTAGTTTTTACTGACTGTATAGAGCTTCTCCATCTTTGGCTGCAGAGCACATAGTCAGTCTGATTTCTGTGTTGACCGTCTGGTGATGTCCATGTGTAGAGTCGTCTCTTGGGTTGTTGGAAAAGAGTGTTTGCTATGACCATCGTATTCTCTTGACAAAATTCTACCAGCCTGTGCCCTGCTTCATTTTGTACTCCAAAGCCAAACTTGCCTGTTATTCCGGTTATCTTTTGGCTTCCTACTTTAGCATTCCAATCCCCCATGATGATAAGGACATCATTTTTGGGTGTTAATTCTCGAAGGTGTTGTAGGCCTTCATAGAACTGATCAACTTCAGCCTCTTCAGCACTAGTGCTTGGGGTGTAGACTTGGACTACTGTGATGTTGAATGGTTTGCCTTGGATTCGAACTGAGATCATTCTGTCATTTTGGAGATTGTATCCCAGTACTACTTTTCCTACTCTTTTATTGACTATGAAAGCTATTCCATTTCTTCTGAGGGATTCTTGCCCGCAGTAGTATACCTGATGGTCATCTGAATTAAATTCACCCATTCCTGTCCATTTTAGTTCGCTGATTCCTAAGATGTTGATGTTTAGTCTTGTCATCTCTTGTTTGACCACATCCAGCTTGCCTTGATTCATGGATCTTACATTCCAGGTTCCTATGGAGTATAGATCTTTACAGCATTGGACTCTCCTTTCACCACCAGATACATCTGCAACTGAGTGTCCTTTCAGCTTTGACCCAGTCGCTTCATTCTTTCTGGTGCTACTAGTGCTAGCCCTCCACTCTTTCCCAGTAGCATATTGGACACCTTCTGACCTGAGGGGCTCATCTTCCAGCGTCATATCTTTTTGCCTTTTGGTATTGTCCATGGGGTTTTCATGGCAAAGATACTGGAGTGGGTTGCCATTTTCTTCTCCAGTGGATCACGTTTTGTCAGAGCTCTCTGCTATGACCTGTCCGTCTTGGGTAGCCCTGCACGGCATAGCTCATAGCTTCATTGCGCTATGCAAGCCCCTTCACCTCGACAAGGCAGTGATCCATGAAGGAGTTAAAGAACTGTAGCCCAAATCTCTTTAATTTGTATCCCACCTTTCAATCAGAGCCAGTGTGGTATAGTGGTTAAGAGCATGGGACTGGGACTCAAGACGATCTGGGTTTGAGTCCCTGCTCAGCCATGGAGCCAACTGGGTGACTTTGGGCCAGTCACAGACTCTCAGCCCAACCTACCTCACGGGGTTGTTGTTGTGGGGATAAGATGGAGGAGGAGAATGATGTAAGCTGCCTCAAGCCCTTTGTAGGAAAAAGGCAGGATATAAATCAATCAATCAATCAATCAGATCAAGCAAATGGCAGGTCAAGGTAGCAATCAGAAAATCATACATCAGCTTAGTTGGAAGGGGCCAGAAGGCCATCAGCTTCTTAGAATTTAAGCCTTGGACATGGCTTGTTCTGTCATCTGAACCAAGCAGAGGAGTTTGTTCTGAGAGTTAAACAACCCATGCATAATCCTTAGCTTCGGACTGAGCACTTACACACACTGCAGTCTTCTATAGCTTAAAGAAGTTTCAATAAGCTATTTGGTTATGTGAAATGGCACTATCTGTGCAATGTTATACATGCATTATGTGGGATGTAATACTGCACTAGTTTGCCTGAAATATTGATATTTGTGTTTTTTCTCAAGAGGAGAATTTAAGGACTAGGGATAGTTTTGGTACGTGACGCTTGCAGTTCAAAGGCTAGGAAGGGGATTGTGTATGCTTTGCCAAAAGCCTATGTGGTGAAGTGTCTTCTGGGCTCCTCTCCCTCCCCCCCCTTTATAGCTAGAGCTTGTTTGTTTTATTTCTCATTGTTCTAGGATGCTGGGAGTAAATTTCATTGGGTTAGATCCCATCTCAGTCATACTTAGAGTAGACCAGTTGAAATAACTAACTCCAGCACATTGACTGAAATTTCTGAGAAGAAATGGCACTCCCTCCTGCCATGGTGATTATTTGTTAAATGGAGCAAATTAAAGATAAAAATCTAGCATAAGTGATATTTAGCAAAGATCCACTGACATGAATGGGAAGGACTTAAGTTAGATTTACCCAATATCATCACTCACTTCCATGTAATGATGTCTATAGTGTATTATCTATGCACTGTATTAAATCTCACCATTCTCAGACTATACACTGACCTTTAACCATGCATACATGAGCTCAGTTCTCACACTGTCCCCATTGGACAGTATTTCTAAATCCATGATTTAGTTTTGGCTTTCTAAATGCCGGATCCATTCCACATGCATTGTATTCCAGGACTGGGTCTTGCCAACATAGTGCTGAGCAAAGAAAGACATGGGCTCTTTCTAAAGGAAAAGCTAGATGCCATAGGACACCTTTCAGACTTTATTGTCTCTTTGCAAGTTGTCAGAGTCAGAACCTGTGAACAAAGAGTCTCTGAAGTTTCTGCAGGGTCACCTGAGTTCATCCTCTCTGTGAGGCACCTTGTCAGTTTCAAACGCTTGTGTCTGGGCTACTTGCCTTTATGGGGGCTCATTGTGCCAAGTGAATAGTAAACCATTGCAGATGTGGCCACAAAGTTCTCTCAATTAATGGGATCAAAGGCTGCTCTTTAGGTATATGTCCTTGCTTGATCCACCCCAGACCAGCAGAAGTTCCAAGTATATCAGAAACTGAATAACTTACAGCCAGCTGGAATCTACTTGATCTCAGAAACTCAGTTAACCTTTATGGAATAAGAAGTGGTCTACAGGTCACTGGAACTAAACAAGAGATATAAAAATGGCACTAAACATTTATTTCGAATATATTTAAAATATGGAAGGTAATTTTTTTGCAGTTCATTTTTTTGCCATTAGCAGATGGCAAAAGGCAATTTTTCATAGACATTAGCAGATTCTGTGAAAATAATGTATGACATCTGTTTCAGTTACTGTCCACTGGTAGTTATAGTAGACAAAGCAAAATCTAATAGCTATGCAAATTGTACTGGAAATAAACTGGATTTTTTTCCAGTTTAAGGTTACAATTTTGTGCACACTTATTTGGAGGAAGCCCCCTTGAGCTGAATAACATTAATTCCTGAGTAGGCATTTATAGTATTACACTGTTACACAGAAAAATGAAAAGTTTGGTATTCCCCTAGTTCTGTTTATTGGGACACAAACAGTGATGCCTTAAGAGAAGTTAAGCAAAGATTAATTTACCTGACTACCATTCTAAAACAATCCACTGCAGATCAGGGTGTAATATGAGCTGTGATTCCACATTGAAAGTCTCTGAATAATACATTTTATCCCCAGTCCATGATTAACAAAGAACAGAGTGTCCTTAGCCATGCCTTGCAGTTGTTGCACACCTGCAGTTAGGAAAAAAGCCACCCACAGCACCATTCTGGATTCCCAGGCCCAAATCCCAGAACCTTATGCAGAAATCATGCCCTACAAGTTGCTTCATTATTCTCGATTCATCTCTTCCAAGGAATTGGAAAATGGTTGAACTTGCCTTGCTAAAGCTTCCCCCCCCTTTTTGTTCACCACACACTTAGTTAAATGACAGACTGACGTTCAATGTTTCATTTCAATGTTAATGAAAATCGAGACATTCCTGCCTGTAGCATACACAGGATCTCTGTGAGGTTGCAGGGGAGCTTAGAGAGCGAAACGTGAAACTGAGGCTAGGGGCAGGCAGTTGTCAAAATGTGTCAAAAGTCCTCACGCCCTTTCCTTGCTTTCCAAATGTACCCTCTGAAGCAAGCCCTGCCTCCTCTTCACGCACCATCACTGCTGTCTCTAGAATTTGGCTGTAATATAATGACTCCAGGTTTCTAGTCCTGTGGCAAAAATTTCTCCTCTCATATCTATAAAAAATCACCTTTTACAATGCATGGATTATATGGGCCGACTAAAGGCTGTGAAGGAATAAGCGGAGCACATCCGTCAGACCAAAAATGGGGAGGGACGCATCCTTGAATGCACTGCGCTTTCTTGACGACGAGGGCTTGCTTTGATTTTCGCAGGCACGAGCACGACCTTCCCTGACCCGGTGCCTTCCAGATGCGTTTCACTACAACTCCCAGCTCCCCCAGCCAAACGTCCTAGCTGGCAAGCCCGTTTTCGACGGCCGGTGCCTTGAACCTGCAGAAGAGGGAAGGAACTTCGCGCACCCTCGGCGGCGAAAACGGCTTGTCGACTCGCGGGTGGCGCTGGTTGGGCGCGACCCTTGCCCGAGCCCGCCTGCCACGTGGACGGAGCCAATGGCGCTTCTTGGGGCGGGGCGTGGGACTCCTGGCGGACACCGCCTCCGCCGCCTCGTCGGCTATTGGTGTGTAGGAGCACTCCGGCCCCTTCGCGCTATGTTGCTGCAGCTCGGCCTCGCCGCGCTCTCGCGACGCGCTTTGCCCAGGGCGAGAGCCGCGTCGCTCGTCTCGCGTGCGCCTTCCTGCTCCAGACCCGCCGCCTTCATGTCGACGTTCCTGATCAATCAAGCCTCGTACGCGTGGCTGAAAGAGCTGGGCCTGCAAGAGGAGAACGGGGGCGTGTATAATGGCTCCTGGGGAGGAAGAGGAGAGGTACGCGGCTCGCGCTAGGGGGAGGCGAGCGGGCTTGGCTGGCCGCCTAAACGCAGGGCAGAGAGGACGCGCTGAAGCGAAGGGGCTAAGTTCTGGAGTTTGCTCCCTCTGCGGCACACTCCCCTTCCTTTGCAAGTCCTGAGTGGAGAGGTGTCTCTCTGAAAAGCTCCTCCTTCTCCTTTTGCTTGCAGATCTGCGAAATCGGAGCACGGTTTCTTTTCTGAGCATGTTGGGTACTTTTCCAGTGCTGCAACATGTTTCTTCATGCAGTTTGCTGTCCTGACTCAGGCGCAAATCAAGTCAAAAGTGGCTGTATTGCCCCGCAAACAGGCTATAAATATATAGCCAATATAGGTCTTTCTGCAATATTTAGTGACTTTCCAGCTTTCATCTAAAAAACAACACCAGCTTATATTCATTGTAACTGAACGGGACTGAAATGTCTTCTCTTTAGGTGGTGACATCATACTGTCCTGCGAACCATCAGCCGATAGCCAGAGTTCGCCAGGTAAGGTCCCTTGTGGTCTTTGGTTAAGCTGTAACATTTAAGTATCACCTTACCTTAAGTATCAGCCAAAAGGAGTCCCAAAATGATTTACAAAGAAACAGAACTGTCCCCATGCAGCAAATACAGGCTACAGTATCAATTCATTAAAATCATTTGTACAACTACCACACTCTGAAAGACAGGACAAAGAACTTTCCTCATACAGCACATATGTGAACAACAAAAAATAGTAAGTGGAGCCAGGCTATTGAAATATCAACTGTCTACCTAACAAAGTGGGTGCCAGGTGAACTTCCCTGGGGTTACCAGAGAAAAGTCCCATTCTCTTGTTGCTACCCGCCAAATAGCTCTTGGAGGGAGCATGAGAGCGCCTGAGCGTCAGTCTCAGGGTTCAGGCATGTTTGCATTGCAAAATATGGTCGTTTGGAAAATTGCATCGCTAGAAAACTTTCCATGCTCTTCTAGCTAAAGGCTATGCTTGGAATGTTAAAAAGGGTGACAGGGAAGGAAATACAGAAACTGTCTCAGGGCAATTTAAGTTGCAAATTTCATGGTAGTGGTCTCCCTTTCTCTGCTGGATGGAGACTGTATATATTAAAATGGTGCTGTTTGGTGCTCACATCACAGAAAGAGGTCTGTGGCGTGCATCTCTTTTTATGTGTCATGTCAGGTAAACCATTTGAAAAACTTTTGTTCAGAGAGAAGATATTCCAAAAAGAGTAACATAGCACCATCCTATGGTGTAAATGTTTTTGCCATTAACCTAGCCTTTCCCATCCTGGTGCCTTCCAGATGTTTTGGAATACAATCAGCCGCAGTCAGTATGGCTAATGGTCAAGTATGGTGGAAATTGTGGTCCAACACTTCTGCAGGGCAGCTGGTAGGGGAAGCAGGCATAAACAGCTACTTGTTCTAAATCGTATAAAGCAGGGGTAGAGAACAGTCTTGGTTTGGGGAGCTGAATGGTACTCTCCTCAGGCTGTTTGAAGGCTGGATGATGGTTGTGGTAGTGGGTGTTAATGCTATCTATTCTGCAGCCAAAGTGCTTCAGGCAGAGATTAGCTTTTTGGCCTTGTTTTAGTCTTTGTGGCATGTGACTTTTCTTCTGGGTGTGGCAAGTTTGCCAGCAGCAAAGCCTCCAGACTGAGGTGATGCTAAGAGTGCTCTAGCTGGTATCTTAGTTGAGGCCTTTATGCTGACACTGCATCTTCTTCATTGGAGATGGTACAGCATGGGCAAAACTGTGCTGAATAAGGTAGTAGCTGGACTGCGCCAGCCACCACCTCAACCAGGGTCACTTCAGCTGCATGCTCATCTCCCCAGTGAGAGAAGGTCCAGCCTGGGTGAGACCCTGGATTTGTGCTGTGTGCATCATCCCCATGGCATGGCAAGCAGACAGACTTGGGTGGAGCTGGAAGAGAAGCTTTGTGGTGCCATGTCAAGTGTTGTCTCTGGATTGCGGTAATAGACAGCACTATCTCAGGTGTATCTCCAAATTGCTATTAGATCCTATAGTTACTTGTGTCGATACATTATAAGCGAAGCAAGGTTTTTAAGCGTTCTCTTTCCTTTAGGCCAGTTTGGAAGACTATGAAGAAACAGTAAAGAAAGCAAAAGAGGCATGGAAAGTATGGGCAGAGGTACGTATTCATATTTTTCTGAAATGTACCTAATCGTATCTAAATGTATTGTTAATGAGTCAGAATCCATTAAGATGCCGTACTTAATCGTACTTACTTGGGAATAAGGGTCTTGTGTGTGAGTAGACCTGCAATGGGACCCTTTGGCTTTCTTTGACTCATTCACATTAAATAATGTTTTCTCTTGGGGGGAAAACCATATTTGATCTTGTGGGAATTGCCACTGGTATAGATTGCTGAAATTCACAAATCTTTTAACAACCATACTGCCTTTTTAGGGTTGGATTTATCTCTTATTTCTTTGGCTCCACGGATCACAGTATCCCATCTGTGTGACTGTCCTTGAGGTTTATGGTCTTTCTTTCTTCTTCTTGTCATGCAGAGATTCTTTGTGTACTTGTCTCATCCTCTAATCTATATTATTGTTTACACTAATTACCCTGATGCTCTTTGAAATATTCTAGGATGATAAAATCTTTGACTGATGAGGAAAGTGAATGCCTATACCATAATTTATATACCATATGACAAAGATGTATGGTTTAATATCCTGTGTTTACTTAGAACTTGGATTCCATGTGTTCTTATCTTGGCCTGCTCTTTCAGCTACAGCCCTTTTTCCTTTATGGTTTGGGAGCAAACTTGAAACATAGTATTGGTGTTATATAAGTGTTTTATTTATATATATATTTATTGCATTTGTATGATACCCCATAGCCAGAGGTTCTCTGGGTGGGCTTACAGCGCAATCATAAAAATACAGATAAAAATAAATAACAATAATAACTAAAAGGATAAAACATAATAGAATAAAATGCAATATCAATACAACCATATAAATACAACAGGAGGAAATAAACACAATATAACCAATAAAATAACAACCAATAAACAATAAACCAGCAGCAAACTTAATAGTCAAATCTGAAAACAGACACTAAATAAAAAAGTCTTAACTTGGTGCCAAAAGCTCAAAGATTGAAGTCACAGTTTGGGCAGTTAATAGACATTGGCAGCAAAGCCTGGTGTAAATTCCTTGGATGGTTGATAGCTTTGCTTTTTGCACCCCAAAGATGTATAAAGCAAGATCAAGAGGGTGCCAGTTGCAACTTCCTTGGAAGGGAATTCCAATGGTGGGGTGCGACGAAAGGGAAGGCCCCTTTCCTCGCCAATTCCTCCCTCACCTCATGGGGGCGGGGTTGTGAAGGAGTGCCTCCGCTGATGACCTGTGTGGTCTGGTAGGGATGTATGGAAACAGGCATTCCTTTAGACAGGGCTTTTTTTGTCATAGAACACACCGGTACAGCGTTCCGGCACCTTTTTTTCCAATGGATTTTACAAAGTGATTTTGAATCACCTGTCGGCGTAGCAGGTCAGCAGCAAACATCATTAACACAGTGCCTATGGGCTGCTTTTGTGTCTGCGCCGCCCGGCTTGGGACGCTGCTTGGCTTGAGATTGGTGTGTGTGGTCGCGCACTGAGTGCTTACTGCTGGCGGCGACGTGAGTTCTGGCACCCTTTTTTTTTTTTTTTTACAAAAAAAGCACTGCCTTTAGTTATCCCAGGCCCAAGCTGTTTAAAGTTTTATATGTTAGCATGAGCTAACATATAATTGGGCCCGGACAATGACATAGCACCAGTGCAATTGGTGGAGGACCAGCATGATATGTTCTCTAGGGCCAGTCCTTGTTAGTAACTTCACTGCTCTGTTTTGCATTAATCGGAGAGGCTGGACTATCTTCAAAGGCAACACTATGTAGAGTTTGTTACAGTAATCCAGCCAAGAGAATATCAGCACATGGATAACTGTGGTGAGGCTCTGCTTGTCCATGGCTCTGCTTGTCCATAGCTGGAAAATCAGCCTAAGCTGATAGGTGGCCTTGGTGGCCAGGTGCACCTTCTGAGAAACAAGTGAGAGAGCTCAGGACCCAGGAGCACCCCAAGCTATCAAGCCTATCCTTTAGGGGGAGCGCAACTCCGTTCAGGATTGGTTGAAAAATTCTCAGTTGGACAAATGGACTTCCCACCAACAGAACCTCTGTCTTGTCTGGATTGTGCTTCAGTTTACTGGCCCTCATCCAGTCCATTAGACACTGATTCAGGATAGTCACTACCTCACCTGGGTTAGGTGAAAATGAGAGGTAGAGCTGAATGCCATCAGCATAATGATGACACTTCGGCCCATACCTCCAGATGATTCCCCCACCCCAGCATTTTCATGTAGATGTTAAAGAACAAGGGGGACAGGATGGAGCCCTGTGGAACTCCATGGTGCAAATGCCATGGCACAGAGGGACTGTCCCCCAGTTCCACCAACTGGACATGGTCAGCCAGATAGGAGTGAAACCACGGCAAAGCAGTGCCCCCAACTCCCAGCCCAGCCAACCCCTCCAGCAGGATACTGTGGTTGATGGTACTGAAAGCCGCTGAGAGATCCAGGAGAATCAACAGGGTCGTGCTTCCCCTGTCTTTGTCCCAGCATAGGTAATCCCATAGGGCAACCAAGACAGTTTCTGTTCCGAACCCAGGCCTAAAGCTCAGTTGAAATGGATCTGTCAAATGTATATAGCTATATGTTGACATGAGTGATATGGAAGAGGGATTTGGAAACAACAGATGAATCACCACTGCCCATTTAAAAGTATTTTTTTCATGAGCAGATTTATTAAGTGGCTGTGAAAGTTGCCTTTTTGAATTGAGAGGAGTAAGAGTTTTTGAAATGATGAGAGTGCTGTTGGGGACAGTGGACTGATGAGATGATGGGAGACTTCAGGATTTGAGTGAAATGGTGAAGTGAGTACCCCATTAGAGTGACTAAGCATCTGGATGACAAAAGAGATTGGGAGATAAGAGGATGATGTTGGAGCACCCCTGCAGGTCCCAGTCTCTGTCTTTCCCCATGCTTCACCTGAGATGGATTCTTTTGAATGTTTTGAGTGCAGTTGGATTGTTATTCTCTGCGAGTCTTGACAATATGATGCTGGTACGGTATATGATCAGTAAGTTATCACTACAAATTGAGTATGATTTGGGATAAAGCACTCAGTGTTTTCTAAGACTGGGCTGAATGAACACATTTCTGCTTTGTTCGTATAGGTTCCTGCGCCGAAACGAGGAGAAATAGTGAGACAGATTGGTGATGCCTTGAGACAGAAAATCAAAGTTCTGGGAAACTTGGTAAGTATTACTGAAGTATTACTGAAATGACCATCACCCTAACTAAAAAATAATTTGTTCTAAAACACACATTGGCTGTAAAATAAGAAATGTCCCACATCTGCTGGTATTACTACTAGGGATGCAATGTTCAGCAGTTTATTAAATTGAATATTCAAAATGTTTTGATCAGCATAGTCCAATTCAAATGAAAGTGCTGTAATTTTTTTTTAAAAGATGCATTCCTTTCCCAGTAAGAGAAGAGGAGGAATAAACAAAAGCTTGCCATTTTTCATTAGAGCTATTGCTTTTTCAGGTGTATATTATACAGATTTTGGTTCAATCATATATGCTGACCAGTTAGAACCTATTACCTGCCAGATGTTTGGACTGTAATGCCCAAAATCTACCCACTAGTATGGTTAGTGGTCCAGGATGATGAGAACTCCAGTCTAAAACATTTGGCAGGCCCCAGAATGAGGAAAGCTGCTGTACATCAAGGATGGACAGATTCCAGACTTGTGTTGTCTGGTTGTTTTATTAGCACTCCAAGGCCACCAACAGCAGCCAAAAATTAGTTTTAAGTACAATTAGTTTTAAGTAACTGAACAGAGCCTCACAGTGTGTCTACTCTTGGTTACTCCAAGGTTGCATTATTTCAGTAGTATAATTTGGAGAAGAGGATGGGAGTGGAGGCCTTTTATTGCTGCTATTGCTGAACAACTGGGAGACAAAAATCTTTAACAATCTGCTGCAAAGCATCCTGATAGCTAGCATTAGATTCATGTCTAACTTTGCCCTCACTGTGTACCACTTGTGACTACTTTTGAGAGAAGTTTAAAATTAAAATGTAGGTCCAGAGTGTCTAAAAGGCTATGAGACTTGGCCCAAAACATATGTCAAAAGAGATGGAAGGTATCAACCAGCATTTTCTTCTTAATAAACCAATAAATGAAATTCCATGGACTGGTTAGAGGATCTAAGCTATTTGTTACTTGCATTCTACCATGTTGTATTATAAGAATAGCTACGGATTTCTCCTCCTTTCTTTGTGTTTGTCACCTTGGATTTTAAAGCATTTTGACAGGGTCTTGTTAATTGTTAATGAACTGAAAGTCGGTATGGCATAGTGATAAGAGCACAGGACTGGGACTCAGGCCATCTGGGTTCTAGTCCCTGCTCTGCTGTGGAGCCAACTGGATGACTTTGGGCCAGCAACAGCCTCTCAGCCCAACTTACCTCACAGGGTTGTTGTTGTGGGGATTAGATAGAGAGCAGGATAATTGTAAGCTGCTTTGAGTTCTTGGGAAGAAAAAAGGAGGGATATAAATCTAATAAATAGCACAATCTTAGATGCTTCATAATTAGTTCAATATATCAATACTTCACTATTTCTAGGTTTCTTTAGAGATGGGGAAGATCTTTGTTGAGGGTGTCGGTGAAGTGCAGGAATACGTGGATGTCTGTGATTATGCTGTTGGCTTATCTCGAATGATTGGTGGACCTGTCTTGCCTTCAGAAAGTAAGCTTCTTTCTTTCTTTCCTTATAAAGATACAAAAAAAATTAGTAGTGTTGCATCTGGATCAAACCTCCCTGTATAACATGTAGCTGAGACTTTGTTACTCCAGAGTAAATGCTTGTGGCATTCATTGGTGTTAATGGGAAGCAAGCAGTGATGGTAGTGGGGTGAACTTAATCATCCTTTCCTGGTGTGGGGAGAGCTTACTCTGAATCATGCTTGTGTGCATTTATTCTGGAGTTTAAATTTCATCATGCAGTGCAGTTAATGCAATGTGTAGTTTCATCCTCAGCCATTATCTTTCATTTTGGGGGCAGAGAAGTTAGATTAGGCAAGCTTATATGCTTTCATTCTCCTTCAGGAACGGGTAGCAATGCATTTTATGTATTTCGGTTGAAGATGGTACCTCCCCTGGCATTCACCTTATCTAATACTGACCCCATAGAATAAACAGTGTGCACCCAGATCCTATATATTCTTATTCAGAAATAAGTCCTGTTGTATTCAAATGTACATTAGATTTTAGCCTTGGAGATTTTAGCATTATTATTTTGTGTTGTATATATTTGCATATTTTATTTCTCAAATCAGAGAAATAGATTGGAAAACTTGTGACCTACTGTAGGCTTGGAAGAAGCCACTGAATTAGGTACCCATTCTTCATCTGCTACTATGGTCTCTGTTTTTGGATTATTGACTAAAATAAACTCACTGACCAAGGACCAAGTGCAGTAATTCAGACTAAGCACCTGCAGCCTAGAAAGAATCGAACATGTTTGTATTCTGCTTGAATGATGGAATGGATAAGTAAAAGAAATGAGCTGGTATGCATGCCAAACTTCTTTTTCCTCTCTGGTCTTTTGATTTTAGGACCTGGACATGCCCTGATAGAACAATGGAACCCTTTGGGATTAGTAGGGATCATCACAGCCTTCAATTTTCCTGTAGCAGTTTATGGCTGGAACAATGCGATTGCAATGATCTGTGGCAATGTCTGCCTCTGGTAAGGACTGCCTGCAGAATAAAAATATGTGAAATAGTCGACTCTGTGTTATGGGGAGTGATAAGCATGATATGTTTTGCAGGCCTTGAGTTATGCAAAGAGCACCCATGTCTGAATGTTAAGTATTCTGCATGCAGTTATGTGCTAAAGTCTTTTCCGTTCAGTTACATGCTAAACTCATTCTCCCACGGCCATTTTGCACGAGTTCAGATTCTTTATTATTTAAATAAAACTGTGGCTATTCCTCCCCCACCACCCGGTCTATGGATGGACTGCACTCTACAGTTAGACTTGCAAGGCTGTTACCTGTTCACACTGCTCTTCTGTTTACGGCCTAATAAAAACCTTGCCCAGGAGGTCATCTTATCCCTTTTGCATTTTTTATGTCAGCCTTTCCCAATCTGGTGCCCTCAATATGTCTTGACCTGCCACTTCCAACATTCTCCAGGCAGCCTAACTGACTGCAGTGATGCTTTGAGCTGTAGTACATCTGGAGAGCACCAGGCTTGGGAAGGCTATTTTGGATAGAAACCTCCCTAGGGTAATCTTCTGCTTTGGTAGTTTTCGAGGTTTTATAAACGTAGTGTTGTGTCTTAAAATATTGTACGATGTCTGTTTTAAAGTATTTCATGAGGACAGAAATAACCCATATTTTCTTTCTTTCTAAAGGAAAGGTGCACCTACAACATCCCTCACTAGCGTAGCCGTAACAAAGTGAGTTTTTATTTACCTCTGTGGCTAGAACGTGTGCACCTTCTCTCTCTCTGTCCCTCTCTCTCATTCTTCTATGTTATTTTAAGAAGCTGGTTGGGATAACACCCTTACCTTTCTCCAAGGCTCCAGTACCTGTTACCTGGTGAATGCTACTTCCCTCCGATTGCATCCTGAGCTGCTCATAACATCCAAAATGAAGTCATATGTACAGTTCCGTAACACCCTCTCTTAGGGGAGGTACACACTTACCATGTGATCTGCCAGTTTACCACATATTTCCTCATTTCAAAGCTTTTGCTGGTAGCTGCATCCCAGGCTGTTTAATAATGTATGGAATGGGATATATGGAAAGATTGCATGATGTTTCTATGTGCAGTGAAGTTGCTTCCAACTTACGATGGCCCTCTGAGCAAATGCTCTCCAAAATGTCCTGCCGTCACAGACCTGCTCAGCTCTTGCCAACTCCAGGCTATGTCTTCCTTTTCGGAGTTAATCCATCTCATATCATGCTCCATTCTAATTGGGGTAGGAACATCCGTGACAGATCCAACTTCACATCAAATTTTTCCATGTGGCTTATCCTTTTGCTGTGTTATCAGATTGCTGAAAAGTAACATCCAGTTACTTGAGTAACCTATGGACTAGACCAAGAAAACAATGGTATTATGCACCTGTTTACAATCCTACCTAGAGCTGGAAAAATTCTGAAAGTGTTAGAATAATGTTAATAAAACATTGACTGTTGGCTGGTTTCAAAGTGGAATACATAAATAAATACTGCAATATCTATATATGTATTGGTTATTTCTGGATCTCTTTACAGTAATTCTGGAAAAGTTGATTTTAGACTTCATTGCCATTCGCACAAGTCTTACTCTAAAACCTAGGTCAGGTGTGCTTGTATCTCCTCTGAAATGGATTTATATCAGGCACAGGTGTAGGCATTTGAAACTATTTAAAGAAAAAAGTGAAAATATTTAAAGAAAAAATCCATTAGCTATATGTTTATGCATAGTAGTCCTGATGCAAAGAAAAATAACTCTTTTTTAATGAATGTTTCCTTTATAGAATAGTTGCACGGGTACTGGAGGATAACAAACTTCCTGGTGCTATCTGCTCTCTGACTTGTGGTGGAGCAGATATTGGGTAGGTAGAACTCTATTTATACATAATTCAGGAATGTAGTTGGTCAGATCTTAAACTGTGTTCTTCCCAGTTCATCTCTTCATCTGCTCCTACATGTTTGTTCCGTGCTGTTGAGTATCGAAACAAGAAGTATCATTATGGTGGCCTATTTATGAGAAGGAAATTCAACCCTTCAGGGACCTAGATTGGCAATGTAGTCTAGACATGTCTACACAGAAGTAAGTCCATTGAATTTGTAGGGCTTCTGTGCAGGTATGGCATCACACTTGAATCTTCTACTACAAATGAGACAACTAACAATGCAATCTTAGGCAGGTCTACTGACAGGTGGGACTCATGGAGTTTAATGGGGCTTACTCCCAAGTGAACGGGTATAGGGCTGTACTGTAAGAAACACATACATTGTTACTATGAATATCCACACAGAGGTTTTTGCACAGTTAAATAAGGATGCTTGTCTTCCAACATCTTTCCCACAAATATGGGCACTTCCAATTACATGTGTATGTTAGAACGGAGTGCTAAAAGTATTTGCCATTCTGTTGATATTGTAAAGATTAATGTTTCTTTATGAATGAAAACTGCAACATGAAGTTGAGTGTGAATTTGATATTTGACTGTCATTATGTAACAGATATTAAAAGTAAATAACAGGTCTCCCTTCCTCCTACCCCTTTTAAATGCATTCTAGCTCTCCTTGTTCTGCAGCTGACTGACTGAAAATATTCCTCTGTTGTCTTGTACAGCACAGCAATGGCGAGGGATGAAAGAATCGATCTGCTGTCCTTCACTGGCAGCACACGTGTGGGCAAGCAGGTAGCGCTAATGGTTCAGGAGAGATTTGGTAAGTCAAGCAGAATGGCCCATCTCTCTGATTCCCTCCTTCTGATTGTCTTCCAAAACTATCGGGGGCAGAAACATATGCAAATGGAAATTGGTTTGTGCATGGGGAATTTTTTTTGGCTTGACTTGGTTTATTGACCGAACCACTCCTCCCTCCTTTGCCAAAGTCCTGTAGCATTTTCATAGGCAAGAGAGAAGTATTAGCTCTTGTGCTGATCTTTTTAAGGGTGAAAAGAGCAAGATGCAAGAAAAGGGTCAGGTCCACCCAAGACTCCCCCCCCCCCCGCAAAAAAGAGGCTTTTGCTGTAAAGGCGGTCACTCATGGCTGTGCTTTGTCTTTTTGAAAGCTGCTGAAAGCAAAATGAAGCTTTCTGTGAAAGCCGCTGAAAGCAAAATGAAGCTTCTGCATTGGACAGCATGCCCCTCCCCCTGTCATTGCCCTTTTGTATCTGTGGAAGTACCCATGTGCTCAAGGGACTGGCATTTGAGCAGGCCACTCTAGAATTTCTTTTAAAAATATGAAATTATTTCTGCAAATATGAGGTGCAAACAGGAACTAAAAACAGACTGTGAAGTACTCAGCCCTTCTAAAGTGCTGCCTGGGTGTTTTGAAGATCACTTTGTGATCATGAAAGGCAATCTCTGAAAAAAGGGTAAGGGGAGAAAAGGGAACCTTTGGGATTAAGGACAGGGTAGAAATATCATACATAAACAATCAATAAAATAATAAAGGCTGCAGCAAAAAGAGCTTGTGATCATACTAGAGGATGGCAGGCCACTGACAGTTGTGCTGTTTGTGCATTGAGCTGGGTGGCTGGTTCTGGGTGAGCCTGGCAAGAACATCGGGGGTTTTGGGCCACTTCAGTCAAGTGGCTTGCTAGCTGGTTCCTGGTACCCACAGTGGGGTTAGTTGCTTGGGTTTGGATCGCACAGCAACCAGTCGTGCGCACAGCAGCCTTTTAAACAAGCCATGAGCTGTCAGAGTGGCTTGTTGGAAATGGTCTGGGTTACACTATACAGCAACCTGCCATGGCTTGTCATCCACAATAGGTTGTTGCATCGTGCAAACCTTGCCAACAATACAGGACTAGATGGATTGATGATCCAACTCTGGCTAAGGCACCTTCCTCTGTTTAAGGAGTTTAGTGGATGTATTGAACTTTGCACACCTGTTTGTGTGAAATTATAGCTGCAGTCTGTGATTTGCTTAAAGCAAAATAGTATGTTAAAAATATACAAGTTTCTAGTGTAGCCAAAAGAACTAAAGATAACAGGCTCCTTCTGTAGCACCAGGCTAGTGCAAAAGCAGGTTAGTCTCTCATACCATTGAGGTAATGTGATTCATGAAGAAAGCTCATAGAGAAGAAGCTGTTTCTTCCTGTTCCCCCAGATCATAGCAAGCTGCATTTGGAATTCGTTGTGTCAGGCCCAAAAAGAACTGCTGCACAGGCACAAGCCATTGCATGTACAGGGAGGAATTCCGGATCATGATCAGCATTCTTCCTTCCCTCTTTTTTGACCTTATTCAGTATAAGCCACTTTCATTTGTTTTGATTTCCTTCTTTCTTTCTGGTTGTGATAAAACCATGAAGGCAGCTAGGGGTTAATGAAAATTGCAAGTTATATTCACATGACTTATTGCTTGTATTTTTTAATAGGACGGTTTCTGCTGGAGCTTGGTGGAAACAATGCTATTATTGGTAATTCAAACTTCCGTTTTGTTCTTTTTTATTATCACTTTTCTGTACCAACCAGTAGCCAAATCTCTCTGGCCAATTCACATAAGGCTAAACTTGATATTTCTATTTGCTGCTTGTTGGCTGAGTGAACAATGTGGGTAGTCATTCCATTATGTGCACATAACTTTTTAGCCAAAATTATTATTTATGATTAATGGTATCCATTGTACAGTTGACTAAAGCTTTTGAGCTGCTTTCATGCCAGACTACAATTTTTATAATCCTTTGTGAAGCAAATATTTAAAATCCTTTCCTTGTAATTCTACTCCTCTCCCTGCCAGACAGTTTTTGCTTCATCTGTTGCTTACTATTTTCCTCTCCAACAATTCAGTAGAATCCCCTTTGCTTTGTTAAGCACACTGCATAAGGAGCCAGAAGGAAATTCAGAATTCCCCCCTCCTGTCTCAGGTTAGGGAAAGATCATCAGCTGCCCCTTGCTATATATCCTACTCTTGCCTTGAAGAAGACAGACTAGAAGTTGTCTCTAGGGGCTCTACAGGACTTTCTACAGTTCCAGATAAATGATGGAAACTAAGCAATAGCAGAGATGCTGCAGGGTTTAGCTGCATCAAGTGAGGATAAATACATTACCTTGACAAGCTGAACGTTCTGTTGAGTACAGCAACTCCTTATAAAATCTTTTGGTATTCTAATTTGCTGCTGGTGTGAGTTGAGGCTAATTTTCAGCGATAGATGCTCCTTCTTGTGTCCAGAGTGGATTTTTTTCCCCTTTCCCTTATCCAAACTATGCTGTCATACAGATTTGTCTCACCAGCTCAACAGGGAGTTAGATTCTTTTCTTTGATTCAGAAGCGTGTCTTTTGTTTGATAAACTGGCACTCTTTGCTTTCGGCAGATGGCCTGCCCTTGGTCCTAAATGCATTCGGAATAGAAACTGCTGCTGATTTTTCCCTCTCCCTGACACTTTTTGGTTGACATTTGACTCCTCTGGTTGCTGCCTAATTGGTCTCCAGATTTCATCTAACCTGCCACTTACCTGCTTCTCTCCCATCCTTGTAGTGTTTGAAGATGCCGACCTTAACCTGGTCATCCCATCTGCCCTCTTTGCAGCTGTGGGGACAGCAGGCCAGAGGTGCACAAGTGCCAGGAGGCTGGTCAGTAAATATTAAGATCCCAAATATCTGTTCAGATTATATTGTCACAGATCCTCTTGTATCTTCTTCTCAGGTCTTCCTCAACCTGGAGCCCTCTAGTTGTCTTGGACCAAAATCCTGGCATTCCTAACCATTGGCCATGTTGGCTAGAATTGATGGGAATTGTCCAAAATATCTGGAGGTCACCAGGATGGAAAGGAAGGAGTGGCATTAGGAATGGTTTTTGGAATTGTCCTTCTACTTGCACAGAATATGATACTTGACCTGGAAGATAATATATGATATCTGTGGTTTAAACTCATTGGGCGAGTTTGTGTGAGTGACAACCCCCCATGCAGGTAACAGATTTCATGGCTGCACATTTCCCTGACTGAAATAAGGTGCTGGCATTTGTCAAATCGAAACCCCCTTCTTTTGGTAGCTCTTAAAAGTAAGTACTTGCAAAAAGTGTGTGCAGGGATGGGATTTCCCCTTTCTGGAGTTCCTAGAGGCTTGGGGAAGTGTGGAAAAGGTGGAGAGCACTGAGAACTGTCTGGGCAGTGCTTACAAACTGGAAGCTCCCACTGGTAAGGGCCATCCTTTGGGAGCTCAAGTGCCTTCTCAGCTTAGCTTTTCAAATGAAAACAAATTAACCTATATGGAGCCTCTCATTGGCAGTGTCTGTAGCAGTTACTTACTGCAGTTTGGCAGCAGACCTTACCAAGGCATCGTCTAGGCAAGATGCCACATTTCAAGTAGCCATAAGTGTGCGCTTGCAAAGGATCGTATTTCTCTTTAAAAGATTGCAGCCTTAATGTACTGCACACATTACTGCCACCTCCTGCTGCCCAAAAAAGGATAACAAGCCAGTGATGGTGGTTCCAAAGTGCTCTTTGGACATTGGTGGAGCAGCTGTCCCTGGCAGCAGCATGGGTGAGCTTGGCAAGAGCTCCAAGGGCTTTTTGCTTTGGTGGCTGAACGCCTTGCTTGATGACCCATGTTTACCTTGGTCTTCTGGGCTCAGGTGACACGGCAAGCAGTCATGGACTCAGCAATCCCCTGTGCAAGCCGTGTGATACTGGGGCAGCGGGGGGGGGGGGGGGTTGTTGCCTAAAAGGCCTCCTGCCAGAAGTCACCTGAGTTCAGATATGGGCTGTTGTGTATGAGAACCCAGACATTCTGTCATGTTTCCTGTTTTGCATTCTCTGTCTTCTGAGGGCAGAATGAGCAAGGATGTGTGTGAACCTAAAACCTGCTTCTCGATTCCATCTTTTTGTGCAGAAAATTCTAAGGAAGTGGTGGTGCCTGAACAGGCCACCTATTATAATTAACATAAATGTAAACTTTATGAGCCTACTCCATAATTATCCTTCATATTATGAAAGTGACATTCTCCGTTCTTAGCATTTTATAAGTGCATTCTATTAAGTGGCAAAACTAGTGTTTTTGAAGTTCTTATGAACAAAGAAATCTGCTACTAACAGCCTGTGCCTCCAGCCTTACCTAGAATAGATTCCTTGGAACTAAATCAAAAGCAGATTTTAAATCTTTGATTGCACGAAGAGATTACTGCTTTCATTCCTTTGGATTTGAATAGTTTTATGCTAGATAAGACAGAAACTAACTATAGCTGAATGGCTAGATCAAAAACTAGTTTGTTAGTTTCCAAAAATGACTTGTTCATCCATTCTAAAATATATTTACATACATGCTGAAATAAATTTTCCCAGTTATAGAAAGAAGATTGATTTAGCAATAGCATTTTTCTCCCTTTATAGGCAGGCAATATAATAGCTCTATGCTGTAAGTGGGAACCACAACCTGTCCTGTCACAAACTGTACAAAAAATGCAAAAAATGATGCCCAGCCATTCAGGTTTTTTTAAAGTAAAGCTGGAGGGCCACTGTTGCACCCTGCTGTGTTATTCAGTTTAATTTTTCCAATGAAAACACATTTGGATGGCCGTCTGGCCAGTCAGGAAGTTTTACCTGAGCAGTGACCAGAAATATACCAGAAAAGTACTTCTCTCATGTTTTAGCTGTATAGTCTGGGTCTTTTCATACAATATATAGCTTTGTGACATAGCTGATTTGCTAGAAGAAAAATGAGATTTATGTTGCCAAATCCCAAAACATTTTCGGATCCCAAAACATTTTTGTTGTAGTTGATTGATACGGTGATTTTTTTTTTTTTTTTTTTGGTGAAAATCTGCATCTTACAAGCTTTTCTTGTAAGAACTAAAACTAGATTCTAGAGCAGGAATGTGTGACTTGTAACCTTCCAGATGTTTTAACCTACAACTCATAATCGCTAGCAACTTAGTCAGTGGGGAGAGTTCATGAAAGCTGAAGGCTAGAACATCTAGAAGACCACATGTTACCCATCCCTCTTCCAGAACCTTGTATTCATGGTATTGCGATGTTTTGGGTAATTGTTAAAATTTCCCTACTTGCAGATTGTTTAAAAAAAGCTGCCAGTCTTATCCTAGGTAGAAAGATACATTTTCCAGTTCTTGGAAACAGAACACAAATACGTGCAATCTGGTTGAGAATAAAATAAATAAACAAACAAAACTTTAGTACAAATATGAGGAGAAAGGCAGCTTGTCATCACTTGTTAGTTTACCAGCACTAAAGCCAGAAAAAAGAAATTTAGCCAAATCTAAAACACATCTGAATAATCTTTGAGAGATTCCGTCTTCATTGTTCTCCATTGAACCTTGATATTTGCCTGAGGACCGCTCTGACTGCTAACTTTTAAGAACACTCATGTTTTTCTGCTTAGTTTTTACATGAAAGCATCCATGATGAAGTAGTGGAAAAACTGGTTAAGGCGTATGCGCAGGTCCGCGTTGGAGACCCATGGGATGGTAAGATTTAGCTTTTGCTCATGGAAGTGCACATGAAGAATAGCAAATGTCTCTTGTATAATTTGATGTGATACATTGATCATAATCTAATGTTTGGATTGTTCGTAGATGGTATTTATGTTTATATGTGTAGGAAATACAGAATTTAATGGAGCATAATTGTTCTTAGTGCTTACTTGGTAGGTTAGGAGAACTGTGGAGCACTTTGAATTGGTCACTGGGGAGGGCCCTTTCTGCGTATTTTCCCTCCTGGGTACCTGCAAAGAGACTGTGTGTGTCCGCACACAAGCACATGTATTTAAATTGCATTGTATGGGTGTTTATCAGGAGCTGTTAAGTAGCTCGTGGAGCACTTAACTGTTGACTTGTTCCCAAGTGCCTCTGGGAAGGAATGAGCTTCAGGCAGACTTTTGCAAAATGCAGTCAGATTTAAGGAATATTAAAAATGTTGACAGGTTATCTTCCACAAATATGTGCCCCTCAGATGAGGGTGGACTGCAGTTTCGTTTGGTAGGCTAGCTAGGGCTGACCAGCATTGCAGTCCACTAGTGTCTCATGGCTCATAGGTTCCACATTCCTGTTCTCTCAAAAGCTATGACTGACAATAACATAAATGGAATGAGGAATTGTACTTTATTCCAAGTGGATTAGTAGACATGGAAGAGATATAGTTTATTGACTGAGCACATGGAGACAGTCCCATTCCTGACATGTTCACTGGATCGATCCTAATGGGACTAGGGAAGTTTGGAGAAATGGTGCTAGTAAGACTAGATGGAACAGGAAACGGTGGTGTGTTCGCTTGACTTGAAATAACCGTTCTTTAATTCCTTGAGTTCTGAAACAGATTAGATGGAAAGTGTGCCCATCTCAGTCTGCTCAAACAAGAACCTGTTAAGATTGTACTCTTACGAAGGCCACAACACCTTTACATAAAGCACCTCTCCAGGCCTCATCAAACAGTTGCCTCTGTGTTCATGAAAGAACAGCCACATACTGATCTGAGAAGATATTTTCAAGCAGCTCTACGCTTATCCATGAGTTAGCTATCCTGAACTGATATCTTTTTTTCATAATCTTTGTATATGGAAACCAAGTATAAACATAGTGGGCTTCTCAAGACAACATATGCCCTTTTGGGGGCAGTGTGTCTCTTAATACCAGTTTCAGGGAAGCACAAATAGGAGGTGCTCTTGTGTTATGGGGTTTCACAGGCTTAAGAAGAGCCATGCTAAATAAAATAAAGGGTCCATCTCGTCCAGGCTTCTGTTTAAACAGAGACTAAGCAGTTGCCTGTGGAAAAGGCAGGGGTAGGAACCGTATAGCTATCGAGATTAGTGTCCATCAATACAATTTGGGTTGGTGGCGGGGACACTGTGGAAACAGAATGCTGGACTAGATAGGTCTTTGCTCAGATCCAGCAGGGCTCTTCTTATGTGAAAAGGCATCCTTATAAATCTTATTTTGGATGCCGCTCAAATATGTCTTTTTTTCTTTGCAGCAAACACCCTATATGGTCCTCTCCACACAAAGGAAGCGGTGAAGATGTTTCTTGATGCAGTAGAACTGGCCAAAAATCAAGGTGGCTCTGTGGTCTATGGTGGGAAGGTGACTGTTCTCATGTATTTCTGGATTCAAGCTGTGGTCTTGAGGAAAAAATAGCATATTGCTTCAAGAAATTGTGCTTTTTCCTAGCACGACAAGCAGCTATTTCTAGGTGGCCTTTGAAGCCACTACTTTTGTTATACTGCAGGCTCTTCTTCAGTCCCAACATGCATTTTGTGTGGCATATACTAAACTCTGCCTGGTCAGCATAGTACTGCCGTTGCCCACAGTAATATCTGCATTCTGAGATACGACCCCTTCTCACAATCAGACTGCACAGTGGCTTTCTTTGATTGTAGAAAGCCACTGACACTTGAAGGCCAATAGGAATGACCAACAGGAAATTTAGAAAGGGGGAAAGGTGGTTTGTGGCTGATCTTCCAGTTGGATAACAAAAAAATTCCACAGCAGTGCCTAATGGTCTGGCCCAAGTGAAGACAAGGATGGAGCAGATGAAAACTGGTCTGAACAGTACCAGCAGTTTTAAGAAATGATGTAAACAGTTTTGTTTAGCTGCTGAGTTGATGCCTGTGTTAGTCTTTTGCCAACATGTTTATTTAAAGTACAGTTTTTCAGTATATGATTTAAAGACTAGGCAAAAATAATTGCAGTACTTTAAATATTCTTGTGGGTGAAAGTGAGATTTGTTAAAGGAAATGAGATTCTCTTTAAGATTAAACTAAACCATGTTCAGCTCCCCCACCCTGACTCCCTCCAGATATTTTGGACTGCATGGGCCATGTTTCCTGGTATTGATAGGAGTTTTAGTCCAAAGCATCTGCAGGGCATGAGATTGAGGAAAGCTGGCTCATATTTTATTTTAAAGCTGAGTTATCACCTGAGAATTCTGAATGTGGCTTAAACACCTATTGCAAAGAAGGCAACCCACATGGTTAAGACTGTGAGTATATGAAGACAGCCCTTCTGGCAGCCCAGTTCACACAAACACATTTATGTCTAGATTAGTGAGCATCTACTGTGTTTCGAGTTGCAGTTTTCTATCACTGCCACTGTTTAAAACCCTGTAAATGCAGCAACGTAAGGGAATATTAAGAAGTCATGAAGCCTGGGCACTACCTCCTGAATTGACACAGCGGATTATGCCTTGCATACTTAAAGTGTGACATTTGCTGCTGAAACGCATTCTGTTGGCAACCAGCTTGGATGGCTTTTAAGGGAACTAGGGCCATAGAGGCTATCGGTCCCACAGTGCTATTGGCTCACAGTTCAGACAGAGCTAGATAGTCCTTTGGTCTGATTTAGCACAGCTCTTCTTATGTTTGTAGATGTAGCCTGGCTTGTTGAAACAAACAGATGCCATTGTTTGTGTGTCTTTTGGATTCAAGGTTATAGATCGCCCTGGAAACTATGTTGAACCAACCATTGTGACTGGCCTTGCACATAATGCACCCATTGTACAGACAGAGACTTTTGCCCCTATTCTGTATGTGCTGAAGTTTAAGGTAAGTGATCCAGTTCTTTGGTAAGATTCTGGAAAACATAATAACCAAACCTTAATTGATTATTAGAGCCTCTGTTTTTATATTTTTAAATGTTGAGGCAGAAGAAAAGGAAGAGGGAATAATTCCAAGATAAATTGGCTAGTAATGATGGCACTGAATTGCAGCCAGTGCTGTTTCATGAGTCACTCACTGCTTGGAATCAGTACTTAATGCTTTGAAAGACTTTGGTTGGAGGATAGTAGTAGCACTGGGCTTGTATCTTTTTAAATGTTTGCCAAACTTACTTGTAAGCCCAGCCATTGAACCCGCAACTATATGCTTTGTTTCTGGGTGAAGCCATTAATCCTGGCTGTCCATTTGCTGTGCTTTCTTGATTCTTTAGGAATGTATTTATTTAAATGTATTTAAAACTTTTATATGCGCGAATGATTATTGACAGGTGGAAGATTTTTATGCATGAAATAAGTGAAACTGTAGATAGGACAACTTAAAACCTATTCTAGTGTTTGCATAACATGGCTTAGATATTGCTGTGCCTTCAACTTGCTAACCTACCTACCCAGTCTTGAGATGAGGCCAATGCCCATATACTGACAGAAGTGACGTTAGTGCTGTGTTGGGTCTCTCTTGGGTGGTGGATGCAGCATTTTGGACCTTTTGGGAAAATATAATGTACCCATTTTCAACAGCATCCCCATGTTGGCCTAATTTTTCAAGATGAACTTCAGTTCCATTTGTGGCAGATTGCTGTGTCTGCTTGATACACAATCTGTTCAAATGAGTTATCTGCCCCCTGCTTTGTTGCTTCTGTTTGCTTCTGCTTGGCACACTCAGCTCTCCATTCAGTTAGCTCTGGCTCAGCTATGTGTCCTTTCCTTTATAGTCAGAGGAAGAAGCCTTTGCCTGGAACAATGAAGTGAAGCAAGGCCTGTCCAGCAGCGTCTTTACCAAGGATTTGGGCAGAATATTCCGGTGGCTTGGGTATGGTGCTTCCATTTTCTGTAGAGGAGAAAAGCACAAATCTACTTTAACACATGTCAGATGACTTTTTTCCCCCAATGTTCAACTTCATGTTGGAAACTTATGGGACCTTTTTTTTCAATTTTCTAAGTCAATAACCATGCCTTCTTTTTTTCCCAGGCCCAAAGGATCAGACTGTGGTATTGTGAATGTCAATATTCCAACTAGTGGGGCTGAAATTGGAGGTGCTTTCGGTATGTTGACTTTCTGTACTGATGGTCATTGTCAGTTCTATAGATTTAGAGTTGTACGAAGCTTCAGTAAAACTTCCAGCCCCCAGATGTCATGTTCTTAGCACAAGGACAAACTGCTTCTACATTTTCTGGGACCACATCATTTCACAAACAGAAGCCCAGAGGCAGAAGTGTATTTGGTTGCACATCGTTGACACTAAGGATGTGTGAGGAATCCCTTTTGGGGGTAGGAATTTGTTGGATTCCCTTGGCTTGGCTCTGTGCACTCCAGTTTGCTTTCTTGTAGCCATGAGTCCAACTGTGTGCTGAATGTGCTGAGAGTTCACATGGATGCCCACCAGGAATTGAGCCTCCACAAATGTTGCACAAGCAGCTCCCTCTTCACACGTGGCCTGCAGCCTTCCTACTGTGGCTGTTGTGGAAAGTTGCTGATTGTGCAGCCTTCATTCTCTGAGTGTACATGGATGTTCTCTCAGCTCATCTTGCTTCCTAAGCCAAGGCTGAGCATGAGAGGGAGTCCAATGAAGAGAAGAGGGCTGGATTCTGAGGATCATCATTACAACCCTGGTTGACACCCTCAGTTTTCACATCCTCAGGTGGTCAAGTTGGGTAATGAAGCGGGCTCCTCCTTGAAGTAAGGCCTTCACACTTATGAAGGCAAGTATGTGTTTAGGTGTGCATTAAATAGAAAATTTGAAAAACTAAATTTAGAATCTGGATTATCCCTATTTCTTCCCAACTTTCTGTCATTCCATTACCAAGGAAGTTGGTCTTGCTGGTGCTTTTACGTGCACTCCTAATGCCATGTCTCTAAGGACTTACAAGTTAACTGGGCAAGGTCTCCCAAAATGAAAGCTTTGTCATAGAGAGTTATATTTTATTATTTGATTTGTACCCAAACTTTCTACTAAAAATGGTACTCAATGTGGCTTGCAATCAGTAGTAAAACCTGATTAAAACAATGCTAAGTAGATACATAGAAACACAACTAAAAACAGCAGAACAGAGTGACAACAGCATCCACCTCAACAGGCCTACTTACACTCCAGATGCCTGCTTCAGTAAAGTGGTTTTTATAGGCAGAAGGGCAGCAGAAGGAGTCACACCCAGGCTTCTTTAAGGAGGGATTCCACAGTCACAAAACAGCCACCAAGAAGGCCAATTATGTGTTGCCACCAATTGTACCTGTGGAGGCAGGAGTCCTGAAAAAAAGCCTTCTCCAGAAGACCTTAAAAACTGGGCAAGTTTGTATTGGAGAAGGTGGATTTTTAGATAGCCTGGTTCCAAGTTGTATAGGGCTTCATAGTGTATCCAGCACTTTGAGTTGTGTCTATAAATGGACCAGGAGCTAGTGAAGCTGTTCTAACAATGGAGTACCATGTTTCTTATAACCAGCCCCAGTCAACACTCTGGCTGCAGCCTTCTGGAGCAGCTGAAGTTTACTGTGCTAAACGCGTGTATAGTGTGCTAGTGTTGTCCAAAAGGGATGTAACCAAGTAAGGCATGTGTAACTGTGAGCAGAAGAGACATCTCTAGGAATGGTGCAGTTGGCCCAATAGCCTCAGCTGTGCAGAGGGATCCCTGTCCGCAGCCAAAACCTGGGAGTTCAGAGTAAAGGCCAAGTTCAAAAGTTTACTCAAACTGCAAGCTTGAGTTTTCAGGGGAATGTCACCCCATCCAGCCCTAGTTGAATCCCTGTTCCTTGAGTTGCCTTTTTACTGACTAAGGCTAACCTTTTGAATTGGTCCTTGCTGAGATGGTTCCTCCAAGAAGGACTGGAGCTGCTGTGTATCAGAGCCTTCTCTAACAGACATTGCAGAGAGATACCATGGTTGATGGTATGGAAAGGCACCAAGCAGTCCAGTGAGGCCAACAGGGACACATTTCCCCTTTCTAGCCTCCTGCACAGGTCATCCACCAGATCTGAAGCTAGCTCTATATGGATCTGGATAATTGGCATCTTCCAGAATTCTCTGAAGCTGAGAAGCCCCAGTGCCTTTCTCTTTCAGTGCCTTTTCCAAGAATGAACTATAGATGGTATAGCAGGCTTCAGGGAGAGGCTTCTTTAAAACTACAACAACAACAACAACAACAACCAAGGTCTTACCATCTCCTTTAGGCAAGATGGAACAATACGTTGCTGTAAAATTCACCATGATTCATACCCACTCAGTAGAATACAGGCACATATCCAGTCCTGGAGTACACAACAGGTGGGGTTTCCGATCCTATGCAATGAATGTGACAACTTCAGGGTACACAGGCCTTCCTCCTGCTTGCTCTCCAATCGAATCAAGCCATGGCCAAGCTAAAAAGCTACAGGACTGCATGGCCAGCACATCCAAACTCCTTGCCACACACGTTGCTCTGGGTGTGTTAATGTTAACTGCCCAAAGCATCCAGGTGGCACTTTGTGTAGCTGTCATCTGCAAGGCATCTCCACAAAGTCTGCTCAGGGGTTGAGGAGGGGAGATGCAGTGCACCACCGGTGTCCAGGCACAGGCCTGTTCCCTTCTTGCTTACTGCTCTGGCCACCAAGTGGCTGCTATAGCACATGGTGGAAATGCAGGTTGTCTCCCTGCCATTGCTTGGTGTGAGTGTTGCAGCAGCCAAGGTAGGGACTGCAGGTGCGGTGTGGAGACTAAAGCGAACTCTAGGCATTTCTCAAATGTAGCTCATCTCCCACCCCATGTGTAGCTGTGATTACCTAGAGAGAAAGCCCAGCCAGATATGCCGTCCTTTCCATAGTGCAGCCTGGAGACCTGTCATAGAAGAAAGACAGCATGCAAATGTAATATTTTTGAGTCTTCATATGAGTAAATGATTTTCTGTGAGCATTCTGTGTAGCAGAATTAGCCAGTTCATGTTTGAACAAACTGTAGTTAAAATTGATCACAGTTTAGACTCAGACAGCACCCTAAAATGGAAGCAAAGTTTTCCATGCTTCCTAATAGCCATCCCGGAATGGGGCTGGTGGGTGGGTGGATACGGAAAGCACAGAAGACTTGTTGTGTGTCATTCTCATGATGCTACATTGTGTGTTATTATTTGTCTGTACAACCTGGCTCATGAAAAACATGTAGACTGCCTGCTCCTGAACTATTCCACCTTTGTATAATTTCTCACTCTTTGAGTGGAAGAATGCACTGAGAATGCTACGGTTTTTGAAATGCAGTACCTCCTGTCATGATAGCTATGCAATTGAGATGATCTACATATTTCAGGAAAAATTGGGATTGCTTGTTCTTCAGAAGAAGGAAGACATCTGATTGTTCTACTCTGCTCAATAGTAAAACTGTTTTGAGAAATGTATAGCAACACTCTGGATTTAGACCCATAGCTTCTATTTTTCCCCCTTCAAGGTGGCAATAAGCACACTGGTGGTGGAAGGGAATCTGGCAGTGACTCATGGAAGCAATATATGAGACGATCCACTTGGTAAGTTCTGGCAGGGTTAGAACATGCAGGCAGTCTCTCAGCTGCCCCTGGGGAAAGCCACTGGTTGATCTGGGGTTCCCCAGCCTGGTGCCCTGCAGATCTTTTACACTCTAGCTGTCATCATACCAGAACATGGGCCATGCTGGCCGTTGTAGTGGAAAAAATTGGAGAAGGCTGCACCGTTTTGAAAGGATTGAAAACATGTTGAAGAAGTGGGAACAGTGTGCAACAAGCAATCTTAATGGAGTGTTTTTTCATTAAAAAGAAATAGGGAAAATTTGGAGGTAGAACTGGAATATTTTAGCCAGGCATTTAATTGGTGCCAGTCTGAAAGAGAACTCCTATGGTCCAGTAATAATTTATCTCTAAAATTGAATAAAATACAAAAAACAGAGTTAAGGAGCTATACTATGGCCCGTGGAGTCTAGCTGTATGCACATGTAAAGTTACGCATGTAAAGTAAAGCAATCGTGGGGCCTGGGTTCAGACAGGCACGTGGTTTCCATGCCGGCGTGGTTTCCACCCCTCTCCATCTTTCCTCATAATGGTGGAACATATCCCATCAACCCCTGCAGATTGAATCAATCCCAGTGTGCACTGCCCTGTCTCTTCCTCATTGGCCCACGCATTCCCCTGGGCATGGACTCAGCCAGCTGCCTTCTCCCGGTTTTGTGTCTGTATCTGCTGCTCAGTGAAGCAACTGCTCACTTGCCGGAGCACTGCTGTTGCACTCAAGCAGCACCCCCTGCGCTGCCTCGCTCTGTCAGTATATGAGCACCCACCTCTCCCTGCTCCCTCACTGACCACGTGTCCACCGTGCCCCCCCCCCCGTGTGCAGGACCAGGGCATGCTGCCAGGGGCTGCCTCCCCCTGTAGCCAGGCACACAGCGGGCATCAGTGTGGGCATCCGTGCCAGGGACATGCAGCACTTCCCGTCAAGCCGATTTCCCGAGGCAGCACATATGGGCATCTGCCCAGAAAAGTTTTCCAACTGGCTGTTTGAACAGTGTTCGTTGTGGGGGGCAGCAGGGCTTGTTGACAGTCCCAAGAACCGTCGGGGACAAGACAGGAGTGGAGGTGCAGGTGGGAGGCAGAGTGGCAGACCTGGGCACCATGGGATGCTCACCATGTTGGCAACGTCCCATGAGCTGCCCATCTGCTCCTTGCATGCAGGGCAGCTTTTCTGAGTGGAGACCAGAGACCCTGTGCATAAAAAGGCAGCACACTAACCAAGCACCACTCCAGTACAGTGCAGCCACCAAGCAGAATTGGCAGGCCTGGCTGCCCCCACCATTGCTCCTGCGAGAAGCAGTGTGGCACGATGCCCTGCTGCTGGTGAGATGATTCTGCTGCTGTAGCTTGACATCTGAAGGTAGCACATGGGCAGGGAACAAAGGGAGCACAGAGAGGCCATTCAGGGTGCTCTTGTCTGCAAGTCGGCAGTTTCTAGGCAGAGGCAAGCAGTGATGAGTGCAGGCAGGAGTGTCTCTTGCAGCCAGAACTGCTCTTTCCACAGAACTCTATGGTGGAGTGGAAACCATGTGGAAGCTTGATTTCTGGGTTTAGATGGAAAAGCAAGCAATAGTGAGGTGTGGAAACAAAGCAAACTGTTGGTTCTCTCTGTGGTTTTTTTGGAGACCAAACATACCAGTTTTCACTGTGCTTGCTGGGTTCACATGTAACAACAAGCTGGGCCACTGTTTCCACTATGGCTCTTATTACATGTGAACCTGCCCACTGCCTGAAGGGCCATCGGATTGTTTAGATTCTTTTATCCAGGTTCAAAGACTGAACTCTAACCTTGGACCTGGGAATTTGTGCTTTTAGCTCCCTCCTCCTTTCCTTTGCAGCCTGTGAGGAAATAACTGCATTGGCTGCTTTCCAAAGTTGGGAAAACAACTTCAGAGAGAAGAGGGATGGGGACTGAAGAGGGCAGGCTAGGAAGTGTCCTTGGGCCTCTCCAGCCAGCTTTTTCTCTCTTTGGAACACCATTGCTTGGTGGCCATACAAAGCCATCTAGCATGAATGCAGAGCAGCAGGTGCAGGGAGGTTAAGGTTGCTTCTGCCAGTTCTCCTCCTCTGCACTGGATGACCATGCACTTAGGAGTTTGGGGGCTTACTCTCACTTTGAAAGGATTGCCCCCTAAATCAGTGTAAATGCTGGAAATGCATTGCAGAGGTTTTTGTGTGTACCTGGTGACAATATGAGAAAGAGTGGGAAAGGGTTATCTGAAATTAGTGTAGTGTAGTGTAGTGGTAGTGGCTAGAGTGTTGGTCTGCTACAAAAACAAATACTGTTTGCTTTTGAAGAGAGCCATTTTCTCAATTATGAACAATTAACATTTTACAAAAAGTGAGATACAGTAATAATTTAGATTTAATAACTGTTGCCTGTTTTACATGTGGTTTGTTGGGGATGTGGGCACGCTAGTGTACTGCACACTCTACTTCTGCTTGTCTGTACAACCCATAATTGGTTCCTTCAAAAGTTGTGCAAGCCCTTGTTTATGGGCTAAATAACCTAGCAGTTAGTCAGACTGTGACCCATGAGTTAGCCATGGGGCTGTTTAGCCCTTAAACAACTGAAACAGGCCAGATTCAGACCACCAAGCTGCACAACCTGATTGTGCATTCTGCACTAAACCAGAAGAGGAGGGTGTGTTGCAGGCCACGCATCCCTAACCAAGCATGGGTTTTTAAATGGATGGCTTGTTATTATGTGTAAATCATAACTGTTGTTCAAAACTGAAGCACAAGGATCAAATGAGATGATACATTACATGTGTGCATATCCATTTAACCTGCCTTTTTAGCTTTAGAAATAACAGCTGCAGGAAATGCTATTGAGGTTTGGGACTGTGACATGCAAAGGGGCTGACACTCCCCCCATAGACCATGATTCCACCCAAAATCCCCCCAGCTGCTGCTTGACTTAAGCTTTCTTTGTCACCAGTGTTCCCTGCCTCACAGCTGCTGTTTTTAAAGTGAAATCAAGCTACTTTAAACACATGTGTGCATCGTCTTGGTTGGTCCTAGCTTTTATATTAGTTTTTTAAAACTTTTTGTAAATTAAGCCTTCTTTTTGGAACGACAGGAATTTTTTCCACTTTGTCTGCGTGACCGGAATATTATAGTACGGTTCCCTGACTGAGCGAGCTATTTTTGCATGACTGACCCTGCAGTATGATGCCAGAACACCAGAGGGCACTGTTCAAGCACCGCTTCCTTGTGTGCACTTACAAGTTCCATGGTAGACCCAAGCTTCCCCTGTTTATTTTTGCTGGTATGCTTTTGTGTCCTTGTCATCCTGCCAGCCTCTGTCAGAGATGTGCTTTGGCTTCGTTACATTTATTTTGTGGCATTTAATGAGAGTTTAATATGAGATATACTTTGGCAGGAATGGAGAAACTCCCTTCTTGGGAACGGTATGTCTACAGCATTTCCAAGTGCAGTGTGTGGGGAGACTACTTTCAGGTGAACCCGTATTCACCTTATCTTTGAGATCGTTTTCAAACTTGGCTGGCCACTGTGGAACAGGATGCTGGACTGCCTGCATATGTAACCTTTCTGTTTATTTTTCAGCACAATCAATTACAGCAAGGATTTGCCTCTGGCTCAAGGAATCAAGTTTCAATAACAGCTTGGTGAATGCAGTGCCTTGGCTGTGCTTGACATTTAAGAGTCAAGCACCTGTTGATTTGTACCTGCTGAGGTGGCTACCTGAAATGATCTAGCGTTGAAGCTATTTGCAACTGCCCGAATACTCCCCTCCAGAATGCTGCAATCGTTTCAATAATGTATCCAGACTCTGATGCTGCATTCAAAGAGATCAAGTGAAAAAAAGTCTGGCAACGAAGAGGTTTTTCTTGCTATACTCTCCAAATCGGTCTGAAACTTGAAATCAGACCTGCAGCATTCTGAAATGCCTTTTGTACTTCTGTCAAATGCAATTAAAAAGAATTTGTGCATAATCCACTGCAATGAGGAAATAAAAGCTTTCTGTTATGGTTCATCTGTACCTGGTTACTTGGTTTGCACTGCCAGTATGCTGAAAAATAATGGTGCCTTCCGTTTGGCCACATCTTCCCTGGGAGTAAGTGGGATTTGCTATGATCGGGGTGCATTGCTTGAGGTGGGGTGCAGCTTTCTTCCTTTGCCTTTAAACAGAACGTGGAGACGCAGCAGTGCTGTGCACACGGTGCACTTAAAAAACAAAAACAAACGACAACAATTCCGCTTTAGGGCAGCTGGAACGATCAGTGCAGTTTTTGCTTTGTTCTTGTTATACAAAACTCTCTTTGGTTCTTCATCGTTTTTGACAGCCCCTCAAAATATTTGCTATTATTCATCCAGGTGCTGGAATCAAAGCACTGCTTGTGCGGGGCTGGGCAAGACTGTAAGAGGCCTCAAAGAGCTATCTTTAAGGCTCATGAGAGCTGCGTGGCTAAGTTCAGGGAAACTCTTAAATCCAACTGAGTAAAAGCTTACCCCCCCCCCCATACTTCAAGTATTTTTTGCAGGGTGGGGTGATGAGGAAGGCCTATTAGAGCTAGAGTAGACATTTAAAAACCACAGCTATGTCTTGTTTTCGTGTTTACTATAATTGGGGCAGGGGTCCTCACCTAGATCAGGACTCTAGCACAGAGGGTTGTCATAAATTGGGCCACCTACACCTGCTTTTTAGTAATGAGGAAAAAGGAGATAGCTGCTAACTACAGCTTTAAAGCAGTCTCTGTTAGGCATCCCTCCCAAGGGAAGAACTGTACCTGGGACTCGAGGTTTGTCCTCTGAGCACTGACAAACCTGATTATAGGCTCACATGGGTACCCTCTTCTGATATTTCCACAAACACTGCTTTCAAATCAGTCTTGCAGGGATATATGGGGGTGGGGCAGGGAGAAGATGATGTTTGAGGTCAATTCTTGCTGTACGTGGTGCAGAATTCTGTGCCCTGTACCAAGGTTTGTGTTTGCAAGGTATGAGAGCAGAAAATGGGTGTAGTTCTGAGATTGGTTTAGGGTTTGGAGGGAGGCTGAGATATGTGTGTCCTGCTGGAGGAGAGTTTTGTGAATAGCCTGGACCAACAGATAAACACGTGGATCCTAGATCAAATCAATCCAGAACTTCATTTGGTATCAAAAATGATGAAACAGGATTATGTACTTTGGACACATCATGAGCAGGCAAGGCTTACTGAGAAGACAATAAATGCCAGGGAAAGTAGAAGGCAGAGGAAGAAGAGGAAGACTATGAGATCGATTTCTTCCTTCCATAAAGCAAGCCACAGTCTTGAGTTTACAAGAGTTGAGCAGGCTGCCAAGGACAGGTCACTTTGGAGAGCTGAGTTTCACAGGGTCACCATAAGTCAGAAGCCACTTGACGGTATATAATAAGGTGTCCTTTCAGACATAGATGACTGGTGTTTTTCTAGGGATTTGGGGTGGCATCCCACACAATGCTCTCAAATGGAAAAGGTGCTGCATGAGCAAACTCTAGCACAAGGGCAACGGTTAGCAAAAAGGACTTTTCCAGAGAAACCATTGCACCATCATGTATCACTGGTCTAGTGCGTGTAATAGCTTACACAACCACAATACTTCAGTTCTGAATACTACCTTGTATTTAAAACACTTCTAGGCAAGAGCTGAAGCAAACATTTAAGGTTGCTCACACAGTAAAATCCAATGCAAATCCCATTTGAGGGCACCAAGAGCCACCTTTGAGACTCCAGTCCTTCCTTAAGGCCTAAACAAGTGAATCAAATTTACAGCAAAACTCTAGTGCGTACTTGGCTAACTTCTGAAGTTCTGGCTAACTTTTGAAGTTCGCCAAAGAATTGTGACTTTGAAGTCAGCAGCTGTGTGTTCTTGGAGGCTGAAGGGTTCTCCCAGCACTTTCCACATTTTGCCATTTTTTAAGGTTGGATGTACATCCATGCTATCTGAGCTGCCTTTGCTCTCCCTGCCTTTCCCTCTCTCTGCCAGTCGCTTGTCCCCAAATCTGGTGGCTGCAAACACTTTTGCAGGAGCAGTGAAGGGTTCTGTGCCTAGCACTCTCTGAAGAGTTGCAGCAGGGCCTGCTCTTGCTACCAAGGGGCTGGGGTTTGTGTGGAAGGACAAGAAAGGGGAAAATGAATACCAGAGCAGTCAAGAAGGGACCTTGCTGAGTGTGAGTTGCAGAAAGAAAGAAGCAGGAAGCAAAAGGATGGAAGGGTGCACTGGGAGCTGGGAGCTGAATGATTGCTCTGCTTTCTGTCCCCCTTCAGCACTCTCCTTCAACTCCCAGTCTGTCCTTTCTCCCACCAGTTTCCTGCTGCGTAAGAATGTGTCCTCAGTGTCAGCACAGCCACACATGCTTCCTCAGGCTCAGAAGTAGTTGAGCCTGGCTGGATGAGAACGCTGTCCCATGGAGTCACTCTGAGGCCTCTTAGCTTGGGTGGGCTGCAATGGTGCAAGCTCAGGAAAGCGAGGGCAGAGCAATGACCTCTCGGTCTCTCTATCCCCTTTGCTTCCTTCCCTATGAAGACCAACCTGCTGTTGGGTGGCTGTGTCAATTATTAGGCAAAGGTGGGTAGGAGATGGAGAAATGTTCCAGGTTCCCACCTGCCCTGGGCAGGAAGTGAGTGGGAGGGGGAAGAGGCTGTGTGCGCTGGGATGGAGGCCTGCCAAGTCCACCTGCTTGGGGAGAGGCTCAGAAATAGAAAGTAGCATTGCCAGGAGGGGCAGAACAGTGGCATGAGCAAAAGTGCTGCTGAGGAGCCCTGGAACCCCTGGCTGGTGCCCAACTACACTGACCTCTGGAGATGGGCCAGAGTTACACATTGACCCAGACAACACGCATCAGACCAGATCACTTTGAAAAATGCAACCCAAATGAAACCCTTCAGCATTCCTCACTACAGGTCACCCCAAACTGCTCCAAAGAGCCAGTGATCAATCGTGGGCAAAGGCACCAGTTTCCTTGGTGACTGGTCAGCCCTTGAGCGTCCTAATCTAAAATGGCATCTAAGCAATGATCAACCAAAACTCTTGGCTTAAAAAAAGTGGAGAGAAAGATAGGAAAAATGAAAAAGCAGTGGGGATGCAGAACAAAGGAACACACATCACACTCTGCTATGGCGAAACTAGATGCAACTGACACAGCCAGGTTTATTATTCCTGAATATTTTGAAATAATACATTGAAGAGTACTTTTTAGGAGGAAAGGGGTGATACCTTCCATCAAGCCTGGCTTACTTTCAGTACGTAGCCATGCTGTACAGGAAGAAGAGGACTGGATTTCAGTTCCAGTGACCAAACTAGCCCTTTTGTAGACTGTGGCCACCCCACCTCCATTCTGGGTATGGGCAAATGCAGCTGCCTCCACTATGCCCGATTGCTGGCTCCTGTGTTCTCGTGCCCAGGGTGGAAGTAATAAAACAAAAAGCCCTCTCTTTTTAAAATGCTTTCTGCTATATCAAATTGGTGTAGAATGCAAAGAGTCGCCTTCACTTCCTGGTCTTCTCTCTGTCTAATCAAATTCCATCTGAATATGCAGAATCCGTTCCTGCTGGTCACAAGTTGTGAAGTACCAGAACATGTGGGAACACGGCATTCTTGTTTATACAAGCCTCCACTTCATCTGCCTTTGGGCAGGGGTTTGCTTCGTGTATGCAAACATACCAGGGACTCATGTGATCATCTGAAATACTGGGGAAGAAGAAACATTCCTTGCCTACCTGACATGTACCTGAGACCACATGGAAGCAAACTGTCTGTCATTGGCCCTGTGCTTGTCACTGGAACAGGTTCAGCTGTGCCTGAATGTGCAGCGGAAAGGTGAATCTCTGTTGCCATAATTTCTGCTATGCCTATAGGCAATTTAAAACAGACTCACAGTAATTCCATCTAGGAGCATCTGATCTTGCAGAGTAACTATTACACTTAATAGAGCTGATAAGGAATTTACTCCAAATTGTGTGTGCTTAAATCTAACTCATTCTGACGACTCTGTGCATATGTCTGCCCTCCAAGCTCTAGCTAAGCAATTGGTTTTACCAAGTTCCTAAGAAATAATTGCTTGTGAATTAGGGCTTACTATTTATTTTTCACAACCTCTCCAATGGGAAGAACCATTTCGAGACGAGCACATGTGACTGATCTTGAATGTTCTCCAATGTTCTTGGCATGGATTCCAATGTAACAGATAAGCTTTTTAGAACCACAGTATTTATGAGAAGCTAATAAAACAAAGGCAAGTTTAGAGATACTGTAAACAAGTTGATGTTCCTTAATTTCTAGTTTAATTATCAAAGGCTATTGAGTAGATTATAAACTGCAGTAGCTGCTACTTGATTATTGTTCCCAGAGGAACACTGTTTGAGTAGTTGTAAAATATGTCCTAGAGCTGCTGTTGTGGAATGTGTGGCGAAAAAGCTGCTTACAGTTTAATACAGCTGCTGTTTGTAGCTTCTGCTGTTGCATACACTTAATTACCATTGAACGTGTAACATCGGTGAATCCTGAGTGTTAAATTACATGGATGATCAATAATTCATTTGCTAGCAGTGTATTGTTTTACTACAAGAATGACCTTGCAAGAATATAAAGGCTGAAAATTAATGTGCTCCCTCTCATGGCATCTTTAGAGTTTGGTCAGTGGAACAGACACGTCGTAACACTGTAGGTTGCTGCAAAGACTTTTGCAAGTAGCTGTTGGGCTTCTTTGCTCAATTCCTTGCTAACTACTCTAATGCTGTGAATGGTGGAACACAGTTGGTAATTGCAGGTCTCTCTTTCCAACCTTCTCGTAAGATCCTTACTTGAAGGCAGGAGTGATTTAAGAAATATCCGTGTTACACAAGGACATCACTTTCATGCATTACAGCTCTGTGTGCAGAATTGCATGCAACTAGTACATGATCAGACTGACCAGACTTGCATGGCCTTTTGCAATCATGCTCATGATCCATGGATATGTGTTGAAAAGCACAAAGCTATGGTGATGTTTTTAAAAAAGGCACTGGTTGTTTCC